CGGTTTCATTTTTCAATAAAATTCCGTCACGAAAAATTAATTTTTCACCAACCAACACATCAACTCCTGATTCGTATCTTGATACCTCCCAAAGTTCATACACCTTTTCTTGCTGTTGTCTATATTCTTACCTATGGAGGAGGTATTGTATCTGGTGACAGGATTTGTGTTGAGGTTGAAACTCAACAAAATATAAATTTGATGCTCTTGACACAAGGCTCCACTAAAATATACAAGCAAAAAAGACAAGAGTATACTAAAAACCAGGAAATTAACTGTCCCTTGGGTACACAACAACGGCTCAATGCGTATATACAAAAGAATTCGATGCTACTTCAATTACCAGAGCCGACCACGTGTTTTCGTGCCGCAGATTACTCGCAACGACAGATATTTTCATTGGAAGATGAAACGTCTTCTGTAGTGGTTTTAGACTGGTTTACCAGCGGAAGAATGTCACGCGGAGAACGTTGGGAGTTTTCAAGATACGAATCAGGAGTTGATTTGTTGGTTGGTGAAAAATTAATTTTTCGTGACGTAATTTTATTGAAAAATGAAACCGACCTCGGAGATCATGTTCCCCTTACCGAAGAAAAAGAAAAGCAAGTTAGTGGTATGAACGATATCCATCGTCGTCTTGAACCCTATGAATGTTTTGCAACGTTAGTGATCTACGGGCCCCGAATGATTCCAATAACAAATCGTGTACTCAATGAATATGAAAAAATAGTAATAGGTAAGATGAATGAAGTAATAGATTTAACATGGTCTTCTTCCGCACTTTACATGGAAAAGAAGGTAAACGGAGTGGTGATCAAGGTGGCGGGAGTAACAACAGAGATGGTAAGAAACTTTTTAATTAAGGTAGCTTTGAAAGGCTTGAATGAGATAGTTGGAGAGAATTTATTCGAAAGAGCACTATAATTCGTTGTAAAAAAAAAAGTTGTTTAGGGAAATTTGACATTCTTATTTTTAAAAAAATTTACACTCTTCCATTTAGTCCAGCGTTCCTTTTATTAAAAATTACAAGATAGATGGATAACAATTGTGGATAATGAATAAAATAAAAAACCCCTCAAAAATAAAAATCACAAAAAAAACCAGTGATCCCTATTATTATTACAATAAAACCTAGTAAGGAAAGCTAAAACATAGATCAGTTTATTTTGCTTCTTAATATCCCGACAGGTACATCATCGTCGCTACTATTTTCATTTATTTTTTCTTCTGATTCTCTATCGTTTCGGTATTCTTCCTCGCCACCTTTGCGACTACTATCTGAACCTTGATAGTCCGAAAAACCAAGCATTTCATCTAATACAGAATCATAATTCCTTCCTGACTCTGAGCCGTCCATGAGACGACTACCACCATTGCTTTGTCGTTTATTGACTGGTGCTCGAGAGCCGCCAGTGTTACTATTAGTATTTAAAATACTTCCCAGTGGTTCGTCATCATCATCATCATCATCTTGTGTCGAAGTATTCGGTATATTTATGGATGAATTTTTATTTATTGATGCAATAAATGCTAACGGTAATCTATCACTTGCTGGGGTATCTGATGAAGTTGTGGAATCGTTGTCGGAATTATTTCTGTGAGTACCTTCTCGTTCTATGCCCTTACGTTCGGTTGCCGAAGATGATAACTTCTTTGCTCTCGTCGAACTACGACTTAAGTCCTGTGATTTTTCGAATGAATCTTTAACGCGATGACTGTTCCTTATTTCTTGGTCATTGTGATCACTTCGTTTTGCTCTCATAGAATGTCCATGTGTAAGTTCGCGTGAACGAGTATGTTCTCGATCTGAAGATTTTGAACGATACTTTCTTGAAGTGGTTTTACTTATTCCGCGACTCTTGCGTTCATCATCATATTCTCTTGACAATGAATTCGAGCGTCGTCTGTGTTGATGCATGCTTTCCTTCCTTGTTTCATACTTCTCATTTTTTGTCCCATTATCACGTGACCGAGAAGACGTAGAACGCGACAGGTCAGGCGAATAAAAGTCTTTCGTGGAATCTTTTTTATTTGCGCTGACACGCTTCTTATGATCCCCTGATTTCCTTTTATCATGCACATCAACTCCGTAATTCATGTCTATTACAACAGACGGTGAATGATCCTCAGGCGCCAAGTTTGATCGGTTATACATTTCTGAAGTATAATTTTTTTCATTTTTACTTCCTTTTGATCGTCGTGACAAAGATTTTTTTAAAGAATCCGATTGTCGATCAACAAAATCGTTTGTTGATTTGCTCTTACTTTTGACTCTATTTTTTACGCTAGGTTCAGAATCATTTGTAACATTACCAAATTGCACCAGAGTGTTCTTTGGTGGTTCCGGCATTGGTTCGTCATAATCATTGGCTCCACCCCGTAAAAGCGATCTGGGACTAAAGATGGAATTAGCTCCCTTGTCATTATATCCTGGTGTGACTGATGTATCCTTATAACTATTGCCTGTTTTTCGTCTGTATATCAGATAACAAGCTCCCACCAACGCAAGACTAAGAATGACTGCACAAATAATAATTGCATATTTTGGCCATCTTCCAAGTGGACCTAGTGAAATAGTGTCAGAATTATTTTCGTTTGCAGCAGTAAGGTCTGTGCAAAACCGTTCTTGCTGGCAGTTATCCTTAAAGATAATCACCGATGCAGAGGGTGATGAATTTGCAGCAAGCTTTGGCGTTTGAACTGTGAATTGAATAAAAAATACTCCATTGACATGTTCACTACATTGATATTGAGGAGGAGAGGTTTGTTGAAGAGTGCAATCCGCAAGTGAATAAGGAGAAGACGGATTACCCTGGACTACATAACCCTGTGGAAAAGAAATGGCTGCCACGTAATCATTGTTATATTTCTTTGCATCTATGTGAGAAGCTGTCACATTCAATAGGTATTGGTTTGGCGAAGACTGAATGGTGGAAACCAACGAGAAACAGCATGATTGCGCTATAATTTCCATTAAAAAGAATTAATAAATGTACCCTCTACATGCTTTGCATTCATAAATGTTATACTGTTCTCTTTGCCCAATCTAAATAGTCATAAATGAGAGAATTACCACCTGCGTCAACAATATTAATTCCGGTCATTATCAAGGCAATAAAGATATTTAAAAATATCCATATTGATTTTAAAGAAGGCTCACAAGTCATTTTTCTGACCTAAAAATATAGTTGTTTAAAAATTAGATAATACCGAGGAAGAATATATGTATATATATATATTTACAGTATATATTTATTTATTTTAACCGATTAATTTCTTAATAAAAATGCGGAAGATTCGAAGG